CCATTTCCCAAAACGCACCGTCGTTTCCATTCGCTCTCTCACTAACGATCCATTCTCATTTCAGAATGCATCGCGCGCATGCTGAACCTGAACCAGCCCCTAAACGCAACAACGGGAACGGCCAACGAGGAAGTGTACAAGATCCTCATCTACGACAAGTTCTGCCAGAACATCCTCTCCCCCTTGATCCACGTCAAGGACCTTCGCAAGCACGGCGTCACCCTCTACTTCCTCATCGACAAGGATCGCAAACCCGTTCACGACGTTCCCGCTGTCTATTTCGTTCAACCTAACCAATCCAACGTGCAACGCATCGTTTCGGATGCTTCTCGATCCCTCTACCAGAGCCTCCACCTCAATTTCTCCACCTCCATCCCTCGCCCCCTCCTCGAAGACCTCGCCTCCGGAACCCTAAATTCCGATTCGATTCACCGGATTTCCAAGGTCCACGACCAGTACCTCGAGTTCGTAACCCTAGAGGATAACCTATTCTCGTTGGCCCACAAGTCTTGTTATGTTCAGCTCAATGACCCTTCCGCTGGGGACAGAGAAATTGAGGAGCTTGTTGAGAAGATCGTCGGTGGGTTGTTTTGCGTGTTGGCTACTCTTGCTGTTGTGCCGGTTATCCGGTGCCCACGTGGCGGCCCTGCGGAGATGGTTGCCTCTGCGTTGGATCAACGCATTAGGGATCATTTGTTGTCTAAGAATAATTTGTTCACTGAAGGTGGGAACTTTGTGAGCTCGTTTCAGCGCCCTGTGTTGTGTATTTTCGACCGGAATTTCGAGTTGCCGGTGGCGATTCAGCATGATTTTCGGTACCGGCCGCTTGTTCATGATGTGCTTGGGTTGAAGCTGAATAGGCTGAGTGTGCAGGGGGAGAAAGGAGGGATGAGGTCGTATGAGTTGGATAGTTCTGACTCGTTTTGGGTTGCGAATGGGTTGCTGGAGTTCCCGGAGGTGGCGGTGGAGATCGAGACGCAGTTGAATAAGTATAAGAAGGATGTGGATGAGGTGAACAAGAGGACTGGGGGGACTCATGGAGCGGAGTTTGATGGGACGGATTTGATTGGTAACACGAAGCATTTGATGAATGCTGTGAATTCTTTGCCTGAGTTGACTGAGAGGAAGCAGGTGATTGATAAGCATACCAACATTGCAACCGTGTTGTTGGGGGAAATCAAGGAGAGGTCCCTTGATTCTTATGCTAAGAAGGAGAATGACATGATGGTTAGAGGGGGCATTGAAAGGGGTGAGCTGATTGGTGTGCTCAAAGGGAAGGGAACGAAGATGGATAAGCTTAGGTTTGCCATTATGTATCTTATTTCGTCTGAGAGCATTAATCAGTCGGAAGTGGAAGCTGTGGAAGCAGCGCTGAGAGAGTCTGAGGTTGATACTGCTGCTTTTCAGTATGTGAAAAAGATCAAGTCGTTGAATGTTTCGTTGGCATCAGCGAATTCTGCCAGCAGAAGTAATATTGTGGATTGGGCTGAGAAGCTCTATGGGCAGTCAATTAGTGCAGTGACAGCTGGTGTCAAAAATCTTTTATCGAATGACAGGCAGCTAGCATTGGCAAGGACGGTTGAGGCCTTGATTGAAGGGAGGCCAAACCCTGAAACAGATTCATACCTTTCGTTTGATCCCCGTGCTCCTAAGTCTGGTTCGGGAGCTAGTAGCGGTCATTTGAAAGGGCCATTTAAGGAAGCAATTGTGTTCATGATCGGTGGTGGTAATTATGTTGAATATGGCAGTCTGCAGGAGCTTGCACAACATCAGCAGCCTGCCAAGCATATTATATATGGAACAACAGAAATTCTAACTGGAGTCGACTTTGTAGAGCAGCTTACGTTGTTGGGGCAGAAGATGGGTTTGGGTAATGTTGGTTCTAGTTCTACCTCAGCTCAGTAGTACAGAGGTGAATGTATTCACATTTCAGTTTGCCAAATTATTCTTTAGTGCACAGAGGAAAACTCTCAGACATTGAGGTAACACAGGCTAAGTCAATCTGTTTTTCATGTTCATCGCCTCAAAACAATGAAGGATTATGAGCCTTGCACTGCTTTCCTGGTTATGAAGCTAGGGGATTGCTTCTTTCTTGGTAGTTTCCTGTAGCACAGTCGTTTATGCTTTATCTTCATTGTAGTGAAAAGTTTTTTTGACAAGCATGATGTGCCATTTATGCCTTATTTTCATTCTGTAAGTGAGATGTTTTGGTTATTGAAAATCATTTTGTATTAATTGAAGATAGTCTGTAATTGGAAATATTCTGCTTCTCTTCCTAGTTCCTACCAGTCTTGAAAGGTCTGGTTTATAGATTAATCTGTTGACAAATTAGGGAGTTCTACCTAAATCATTAATGTCCATTCAACTCTTATCATGAGGATGTTTATTATCAGACTGATATATTTTATTTATCCTTAACTTTTCTTTTTCTTGTTAATAATCCTAACATCAAATCAAAATCAGTAAATCTAGAAATATTAGGATCAGCTTAGTGGTGGAGTTGGTGTAGATGCATGAAAAGTTAGGTTTAATTCTCATTATCTCCACGAAATCCTTCGTACTGATTAAAAAAAATCAATAAATCTTGATAGTATATTGTTCAGCTATCTGCATGTTACCGGTTGGCATCAATGCATTATCATCAACAGACGACTAGGTTTCAGGCACAGCAAGCATAAGATACAATGATTGTACAAGGACCAATATTTTGATTTGACTATTTCTTGAGTTTTGCCTCGAAATTGACCTGTGTCAAGGTCTTGTCTTGTATATGTATTAAAGTGCATTATGGTTAAATCGAACTTACTGTCGCCCCAAAAGAAAAAAAAAATGTTTTGTTTGTTTAAATTTTAAGAAATGTTTTCGAGGAGAACATTTTCTAAATGAAGCCCAATTTTGAAAATGCTTGTTTTCAACGTATTCTTTTTAAATTTTGAAAATGAAAACAAGGAATATACAGCAACAAATTTTTTATTAACTTGCTCTGTTTCATTTATAACACACACTAAGTTCATGCTTTTTCCTGTTGTGGAGGACTCCTGTTATGAAAGGTTTTTTTTTCCCTCTGATTGGTTGAAATGAAATATGTGGATTTTTCTTATATTAAGAAGTAGTTCAATTGCATAAACTTTAAAAGTTTTGGTGGTTCAGTGGTTGTTGCACTTTAAATGATAGGGAAAGGGTTAGCTTGAGCACAGGTTTTGTCAGGCATGTAACCAGTGGATAATTCTCGGCTCATTTTGATTCCAAGGGTCAGACATATCTATGGCACCAATGAATGGACCTCAAAGCGACTACATGGAGTTAAACAACACCATTTCATCTTTTAGTGGACAAGTGATGGAAGTGCTATTTCTGTTGTTAGTGAATAATGTCTGTTATTTTGACAGAATGATTACAGGCATTATAGCATTCTTTGAATTCTCATAGATTGCACCTTCAAAATAGCATCGGCTATTGTAGGCTTGAAACTATTGCATTATAATATGATGAAATTGTTTTAGTATTGCTAGATAAATTCAACCCATTGAATAACTAGGCTTTCATATAGAGTGAATTGTCAAAGGGATTTGTCTGGCCATCTGATTAATTAAGGATGGTTGTAGCCAATCTGAGATTTGGTCCCAGCCAACTAGGATTTTGAGTTAGGTTTTTAAATTAACGAATGCTTCACGATTGACCCCAAAAATAATGCCACATTTTAAGAGGTGTGGGATTCTTTTAACAGTATTTTCTTTCATCTTACTTTCTTCCATCTATTACTCTTCTGGTTGGATTCATTTGCTACAAAAAGTAATCAAGTGTCCAATCGATTATGGGAATTTTAAAAATTTCATGTTGTTTTATCTAAAGTATGATATGATCAACCCTTTTGAAATAAATTTTCCTATTTATAGATGAGGAAATAATGTGCCTGAGATAAAGTTGGTGCAACATCTGTTGAGGATAAATGTATATTTGAATTTTTAAGTTTGATTACTGAAAGAATATGCTATGCACTCCCTGAACAAGAAATTGTTTTAAGCCGTAGTGGCCGTGTTTGGAGTTCAAGTAGCTTATTTCTTGTACACTGTTATGATTTAAGATTTTAGTTTCACCAAGCCGTTTGCATAGTATATCTCTAATGTATGAATATTTTATAATTCATATAAAAGTTGATCTAGTGGTACAAGAGAGAGGTTAAAATATGGTGAAGGAATGAGGTAAATGTGAGTGAAATAACAGCGTTGAGACTTGCATGATTAAGCACACATCAAGCACTCTTAGAAATCCATGGTGCAGCTGGATCAGATCATCAGAGGCAGAAGTATCCGTGATGTGCATTAGTGTTGGGAAAGAAATTCCTTTCACTCGACGAGGATTAAAGAATAAAATACACTCGCACATAAATATATATATATATATATATATATATATATATCTTCATGTTACATTCACAAAACCACAAAAGAAAGGCCATATGTGTATGGAACATTTGTCCTGGCATGACTATAAGTTTAAAACAATACTATCATATATATATATATATATATATATATAAAATAAAAAATAGAAATAGCAAAAGACATGGTTTTTAATGTGCACTTTTTTGCTTATGTTTATGAAATCATTTCAATAAATATTTATTATTTTAAATAAGGCTACAACTTTTTTTTAGACAAATTTGAAAAGGCCTTCCTCATTGAAATCATATATTTACTTTCCAAATTTGCCTAAGGATAAAACTGAAAACTTATAATTTCCCCTGCATTAGGGCGAAACCAACAGTTCTAACTTCTAAGCATTAGACAATGATAAACCAAAATGCTCCGATATCGAGGCGCTCATTCAATTGATATAATCCCGTTTCTAAGTCACAGTGGGGAAATTTCCTATTAATAAAAAAATGTGGGGAAAAGTTATCCCCTTGACTCACCCTTTTGCTAGTAGCAAAAACTAAATAATATCATTCAAGTTTTGAGGGAAAAATAATAGATAATTGACAAAAATAAAATATACTGCAAGAAATAAAAATGACTTATTAAAATTGGCTCATAATTCATTGAAAAGGGATAATAGTATTTGGTCGTGATACAACCACTTTAAGCACAAGTTGCATTTTTTCTCTATTAAAAGAATGAACCTTGTTAGCAAAATTGTTGACTGCCTTCCTTATAAAATTCCATCACCTCATACGCAGGCAAATCCAGATTGTAGATATTGTCATCGTAACCTCCTGCTCTTGGGGCAACCTGAGCTTTCTCTAGTGATGGCCAGAGCCCAGAGGTACTCTCCATTCTTGGTCCAATGCCATGACAATCTACATCACTAAATTGATGGAAGGGTTGAGATTTGAAGTCTGATCTCCTTTAAGGAAAAATTGAGCGAAAAATGATCCTTAGAATAAGCACCAAACTATTATCAGTTCACTGAAATGGAGAAAAAAAATAAGACTATGCTGAATAATTTGTGCTAAAATGGTAACTTAACATTGAAAAATTTAGTATCACAATAACAAATGCCCCTGAAAGACAACCTTATTGATGCACAAAGTAAATATGAATGTAATCATCTCGATGCTTCAAAGAATCAAATTACTAAGCTTATATATTGGTTTATCGTTAGAAATAATTCTAGTAAAAGCTGCCTCTGGCTAAATACAGGAAGAAATACTCCGAGTAAACTTAGCTTTGTTAAGTCAAATTTTCGACACACTTTTTCAGTGCCAAATAGTCACAAGGACCATTTCATGGCAGAAAGACTTTTTGCATACAGGAATTGAGTGACACCTACATTTGGAAAACTCCAAAAACAAATATTATTGTTAATAGTAAATCCTACTCTAGATTCAGTATCAATATAGATTGTTGTATGTTACATTAGCAAAAATAATTAAGTCAGTCCCTAAAACTCTATTTTGCATGATGTTTCCCTTTCTACATTCTTTTCTTTCTAACTGGCAATGCAATTGAGGAAGAAATTGTCATTCCAAAAGATGTTAAGCATGGGATTGACATCTTGATTTGATGTTGTGTTCAAACCTGTGCCTCAATGATCTGAGTTGAGAATAAGCACAAAGCCAGGATAGGAATGGCCATGGGATTGACATCTTGTATCATATGTTGTGAAAGATTTGACACATAAGGTCTCACAAACACACACCCTCATCATCATAAAAATACTCCCTCCGTTTTTATTCATAATCGTTTTGTCAGAATTTGTCGTTTTTTTTCATTGTCATTTTACTAAAATTAATGACTTATTAATTTTTTTTCTCATTTTTACCCTCGATAATTAATGTATATTTATTGAACAATGTGTCTATTTATTTCTAATGTCTACCTATTTTTTCTCTAATCACCTATGTAAAGTTAATGTTGTATTTAAAAGGGCAATATATTTCTAAAGAAATACTATAAAAAAATAGATAGTAGAATAGGAAAGTAAGTAATAAATATTTTTGAAAACTAAAATATCAATCATTTTCTTAAGTCTCATGCAAAACCTTAAATGACTATGAATAAAAAACGGAGGGAGTAATTATTTTAGGAGCAATTGAAAAATTGTGACATGCCAATCTTCCGGCCATCCATGATTGAAATCATGTACAACTGACACCAGCAAATTGATCTGTTAAAAGAAAAACATGAAATGAGCTATTAGATTTATCACATTTGTCTGTAAGCTACAAATTCACAAAGTTATACCCATCCAAGAATAAGAAACAACTACAGCGTTCTTACCTCTGATTAATGTTTGCCAGAAGACACATTATTTCTTCCATGTCAAACCAACACTTACAATTTCACATCAATATCTACTTAACCAGTCAATATCATTTTTTCTCTCTCACAATATTAACGCTTCTAACAATGGCATGATCTGACATCTATTGCTGATTGAAGTCCTAAAACGGCAAAGTTCTCATTGGGGATCAGAAAAATCAAGAATCAACCCAACTATAACCTGTTTGCTTCTTGACATTCTTATATTCCATCTTCACTCTCACATTCTCAGCATCATCCCATTGTCCTAAATTAGCATACATATTATATAACAACACATACGGAGCTGAACTTTCTGGTTCAAGTTTGATCAAAGCATCAGCTGCTACTAGGGCCAATTCTACATTATTATGCACTCTACAAGCCCCTAGTAATGCACCCCACACAGCCTTATCTGGTTTAAGTGGCATGGTATTTATCAAATCCATAGCTTCCTGAAGCTGCCCCTGCCGTCCCAAGATGTCCACAAGGGAGGCAAAGTGCTCAACCCGTGGCTCAATACCACAGTCATTAACCATGGATTTGAATTGCCTCCTCCCTTCTTCAACTAATCCTGCATGGGCACATGCATTCAATACCGAAATAAAGGTTATGTAGGTAGGGTGAATTTTAAGCCTTTTCATCAGTTTGAAAAGTTCGAGCGCTTCTTCAGCTAAGCCATGAGATGCATAGCCTCCAATCATCGCATTCCAAGTAACCACATCTTTATAAAGTTTTATCTCATTAAATACAGTGCATGCATCAACTATTGCCCCACATCTTGAGTACATGGTAATAAGGGAATTATTTATCGGCGAATCTGGAAGAACAGTCTTTGTGACCAGCTGATGAATCTGCTTACCAAGGTAAAGATCCACCAACCCAGTACACACACTGAGAATTGAAGATAATGTGTGTCTATCTGGCCTCTCCCCCTCAACTTGCATCTGAGAAAAGAGCTGAATAGCACCCTTATAGTCTTCATTCTTCTCGCAGCCAGCTATTATTGAGTTCCATGAGATCAGGCTTTTGTTGGGCATCCTCTCAAAGAATTTTTTTGCAAGATTCAAGTCACCCTTCTGTGCAAACCCAGATATTATTGTATTCCATGAAAGTACATCAGGACTAGGCATTTCCCTGAGAAGCTTTGAAGCCTCTTCCATGTTGGAGATTTGAACATAGCCACTGATCACAGTGTTCCAAGAACAAGTATCGCGCTCCCCCATCCTATCAAAGAGTCCCCTGGCAGAAACTATGTCTCCTGCTTTCACATAGCACATCATCATCGAATTCCACGAGACCACGTTTCGCTTGAATTTCCTTTGACCGCTATCAGCATCGCCTTGATCATCTGGAATCCCATCAAAAAGGCGCCGAGCTTCTTCCACTTGGCCTCTTTGGCCATAACCCGCAATCAGTGTGTTATAAGCATACACTAAATCATCTTTTCCATCACCCCCATTCCCAAAATCACGCAGAATCCCAACAGCCATGTCCAATTCACCATTTCTAACAAGCCCCGAAATAAGGGCACTAAGAGAGACCGAATCACGCTCAGGCATCGCCTTGAAAAAACCAACAGCAGACTCCACATCACCATTCAGCAAGAACCCAGTGATCACAGCGTTGGAGGACACAACATTGCGCTCCGGCATAGCGTTGAAGACCATCAGAGCCTGGTCCATCCTGCCATTCTTAGCATACCCACTGATGACTGTGTTCCAAGAGACGCAATCTCTCTGGGGCATTAGATCAAACAGCTTTCTTCCTTCCTCAACAAACCTGCTTCCATGACACGAAAAGTAACCCGAAACAATGAGGTTCCAGGACACGATGTCCCTTTGGGGCATTTCGTCGAACAGTTGGCGCGCCTTGGCAATTTCTCTCCGATGAACGTACCCACTTATCATGGAGTTCCATGTAACGGTATTTCGGTGATTCATGGAATTGAATAGTGCTCTAGCTTCACTTAGTCTACCACTTCGAATCAGATTAGATATCTTTTTGTTAGATCGCTGCACTAACCGAGACGAGTTATAAATATGGTTTTGAGAAACTGAGGCATGACAACATCGGATACAAAGTAGTTGTTGGACTATGTTTCTCTTGCTCAGTTTGCCGTACAAAGTTGCCATTAACAAAACGGAGATACTGTCACCGATTATAGGAGCTTCAACTGCGATCAAACCAAATAGATGCTACGCGTTCTGTTTCAAATTGTAGTAACGTCGTCGTAAGTTCCAATTCTGTTACATTCTTTGACATTTCTACAGATAATAAATTAATTAATTAATAAGCTTGGCTCAGAATTTTATTAAAATAAATTTGTAAAGCAGTTTCTTAATTTTTATATAAATTATCTTTAATCGTTTTATTAGTTCTTTCAGGTTTATTTTGATAAGGTTCAAAAAAATTCATTTTTAATTTATTTTAAAACTAATCCCATTTAATTAAATTTTATTAAATAAATTTTGATTAAACTATTTATCAAAATTATTTCTTTTCTTCTTTTTAAACCCTACTACTCAATTTATAAATGACATTCACTTTTACTTTGGTATCATCCCTTTACTAAAGTAGTACATATATTAAAAGTTTAGGTTTGGTTTAATTTTTTTTTTTAGGTTAAATTATATATATAGCCTGTTATCTATTTTTTCTTTTTCTTTTCAGATTTTGGTTAGTCTCTTATCTTTTAAAAAAAATTGATTTAGTCTTTTACGTTTTTAAAGTGGACCAAAATAATCTTTGAAATAAATTAGAAATTTTATTTGATTGAAAAGATGAGAGATGATAGATTTTAATGTAAGAAAAAAGAGGTAATTATTTTTTATAAAAGAGAGAGAGATTAAAAATTAATTTACTTTTATACTTTTATATTCTTATAATTTTGAATTTAAAATATAAATAAGGATAATTTAAACATATTAATAAAATTAAAACTCTTTTTCTCCTTTTCAATTTTTTTCAATATTAAAAGAAAGCTAAAATTAGATAAAGAGAAATTATCATCCACTTCACTCCTCCTCTAACACATTGAATAAAAACAAAAACAAAAATTAAAAAAATCTCTACACCCTCCATTTCCCTCCAATCAAACACACCATATCACAATACAAGTAGCGAAGCAAAAAAGTTGTGGCTACCTATTATTTATTTGCGTTACATCTCTCCATTAAATGTGTATTTCCTCCTATAATCACATATATATATATATGTATAGAAATTAAACACTTAGAATAATCGCATATATAGAAATTGAACACTTTCAATAATCAAATAAAATCTCAGAAGAAAATGATACAATTAAGAAACATACAGCGGGCTTTGCTCGTGTTGGTAAGAGGAAAGAGTCAAGTTCCGACAGCTCCACCCAATATGATGGCAGCTACATTTTCTAGCTTTGCTTTTCGACTCTTAAAAATGGGTGCATGGATTATATGTGAGACCAATATAAAGATAATAACTAGGAAGAGAAGGTTCTTGATGCTTTTTAGGTTGTATTATGTTTATAATAAAATTAAATAAGGATTGTCTCATACCATATACTTAAACGGGAGACTATTACAAAATAAGCATTTACTTGCATAAGTTACTAACTTAGTAACATTACTAGTCAAAATAAAATTTATTAAAAAAATGAATTAACACAGCTAATTAAATCACATATTATAAATAAATAAATAAATAAAAACATATATAACATGTGTATACAATATACCTAATTGAATCACATATAACAAATCAGCTAAGTGAGTAGAAACCAAAAACAACCAACTTGCAAAGAAAATACTGAGAAGCTGAGAAGAGAGGTGGGGATGGAACAATTGACAATTAAGGCATAAATGATTAACAGTTTTCCAATGTTTAACAGTTGACCCTTTTACTCACGTGATTTGGAAAAATATAATTTATTTTTAAAATCAGTTATTTTTATATCAGATTTTGTAAGAAATGAGGTTCAGGGTTTCACGGCAACTAAGTAAGATATTTACAAAATCAGTTAAAAAAACTGATTTTGTAAGATACTTATAAAATTAGTTAAATTTTAACTGATTTTAAAAGTGTAAGTTATAATTATAAAATTGTCAATATTATCGTTAAATTAATCAATTTCTATATAATTGATTTTAAAGTTTAATTTTTTTAATTTTTTTTTCACTAGTCAATGGGTAGCATTTAATAAGTATATAGACTGATTTAATAAATTTTTAAGGTTTAGAATTTAGGTTTAAGGTTTAATAATTTTTTTTTATGTATATAAGAATCAAATTGAGAATATGTAACACATGTAAGGATTAAATTATATATTTATTAATATATTTATGCCTTTTAAAGAATCTATATCTGTTACTAAATTATTTGAATATTTTCAGCCATAATTTTTTCTCCATCAAACGCAATATACAACTATTACATACAACAAAATTGATTAGATGGTTTATGACTGAGAATTCGGCCTTACAAAGATAAATGTTTGAGCATAGACAGTAAACAACTTTGCCGGATATTTTTATCATCCATAAGTGAAGCGTAACTTGATAAGTGACAAATATGTTAGTATATATTTTAAGTAAAAAAAATAACATATTCTAAAAATCTTGAAGTTATAATACTTGCATCTCTCCCACATGGTAATGACATGAAAGAATGAAAGGATTCTTATGATATTTTAATAATTAATTCACAATAAAAAATAGAAAGACAATAATAATTCAAGACATCATATTTTGAGTTGGTCCAAAACTTAAAAAAACTAAAAGCAGCCTTGAGTGTAGTGGAGTCTTTAATTTATTAATTTGGAGACTGGTAACTTGATTATTCTGTGGTGGAAATAATAAAAAAAAAAACTTAATACATATTTTTTATACTTAAAAAAATATTATTCTCAAAATTTATTTTATGCTTTATTTATTTTTAGATGAGTTAAATTAATATAATATTTATAAAATCTATACAAGAGTCGTTCTAATGTTCTTAGATTCGATTATCATTTATGTTAAAATAATGTTTGGTCAACAAAAGTCAAGTCTCACAAATATATATTAATCTTTAATTGTAAATTTTGAAACATTGTATAAATTATATCTATGAATTAAAAAGAATTAATATAATAATTTTAATTTGATTAGAAATTATACATTTACACATTATGATCTATTTAATGATAAATTCATGTTATCATCTATGAAAAAACGTTAACTAACCATAGTCAAAATATGACGAGTATTATAATTTATATTGTATAACTTTTTTATGATATGTGAGGAAATTTACTTAATTAGGCCTTGGACGGTGGAAGTATGCCTAATTGATTTTTTATGCGCAAGTTCAATTACGTACAATACAAACCCACAAATCCTTGTTCTATTTAATGGTCGGTGTGTCACCACTGCTTTAGTTATAACACTTTATGGTAGTGACATTGAATAAAATAACATTTGGAAATTAAAAAAAAAATTTATAAATAAAATTTATTAATAAAATAAATATTAATTAATTATTAAAATAAATATAATAAAGATCTTTGATATATGTTATTTTTAATTTCATCCTGACATATTATATCATTAAATATCAAGTTGTTTAAATGATGACAAGTTATCAAACAACATCAAAATTTAATGAATAAAAAGTATCATATCAAAATTTTATATTTTTAAAAATAAAAAATTACATATCTCAAGAACTAAAATTACGAATCATAAAAATAGAGACTAATTAATATCTCCAATATTTCCCAAATGGGGCATATAAATTCAAATCCATAGCATTTGTTGAGAAATTTTCATTTAATTGTTCACGGGTTTCTTATAATTTTCTGAAATAAATATTGTCGGGAATATGGCACAATTTTGTATGAAAACCTGTTGGTTATAGTATACTTTTTTTAATGGATGTAGTTCTTTTAATGAGAAAATTTTACTTTAAAAATTACAACAATAATCATTGATTTTTTTTTGGTGTTGAAATTAGTTTTTTTTTGTGTTGCAACAATAATCATTGATTGAGAAATCAATCGTTAATATTATAATTAATTTTAAATTTTATTTTATAAAAATTTAATTTGTCATAAATTTTAATTTTTAATTTTATAATTAATAATTATGAGTATATTTTATCTTTTAAAGTACACTTTCTTACTTTAGAAGGTTAAAAAAATTTATATTTCGATTATAGTATGCAAGTTAATTGGAAACAAAACCTTGTTACTATATTGATTTTTTTTTTCATATATAACATATATAAAGGTGATACCTTGATTTAATGTATATATCTTTTTAAACAATTTTATCTTTTAATTTTTAAATAATAAAAAATAATATTAAAAATTAATCACTTATAAATATAAGATTTGAATTCAAAATTTTGAAGTTTGAGAATTAAATGCAACACTAATTAATTTAATAAATATTAATAATTTTTAAATATTTTTATTAAATAAAATATAGAAATACGAAATAATCATTCATATATTGTATTCTATTTCGAATATGAATTGTTATATATGTATGATATAGAAGACTCCCTCACCCCTCCAAAAAAAACAAAAACAAATAGGACCTTGGCTCTCAAATTATAAGAGTGAAGAAAATTGATTCCAGTATTTAATAGCATGTGTCTCATGAAAGAACTTTTTAAGAAATAGGTTAAAGAAAAAACGTATCATATTCGCATAATAAAATTATATAATTTATACATTTTTTTTATCTCAACACGACGTCTTATCTCATATTTTTCTTTATTTTCTTCATATTTTTCTGTCATTTGTATGAATTGTTGAATATGTTTATTGTGTAAATATGAATTTTCAAGAGAAAATTGAAGACACTAATTAGACGTCTTATTTTCCAAAATTAATCCCCCAAATAAATAAATTAAAAAAAAAAAAAAGCAATTGTGATTAGACATACTTGAAGGTTAAACTTAAATTTTAGTTATATTGATAAAAAAAAATTTGTTTGATATTAATTTTTTAAAATAAAAAAGTCATTTATTATCAAAATCTTATATACTTGTAAAAAGATTGGACATATATCTTTCTCATTTAAAGGAAAAAATTCTTTCTTAATTTTTTTTAAGCCTCACATGTCGTTGGATCGACCATATTAGTAGGGATAATAATGAATTAAATCAATTTAAAAATAATTTAAAATTACATTTGATAATTAGTTAATAAATTAAATAAGCTGAATTTGAAATAACAAATAAATTTGATAAATAAATGATCCGAATTTGAATTATGTATAATTCAAGTATATAATTTTACTCAACTTATAAATATATAATTTATATAATTGACTTTCTATGTAATTCTAACTTATTAAAATTTAATAACTTAGTTTTAAGTTAATAATATGAGATGTGTGCATCTTAGGATTTCGTAGTCATAGATTGAGTCTTCTACTTATTTGTGTAAGGTGAATTAGTTTTATTTATGCAAATTTCAGTTTTAATTATTTTTTCTCATAAATTTTAGCAATACAAAGCTAATCGAACATTTTTTATCTTAAAAAAAAAAAACTTGAACAATTATTTTATGTAAAATCTATTAATAAATTACTTTTTTTTTTAAATGTATAGAATTCAAAAAAAAAAGACTTTTGATTTGTGTAATTTGAGTTAATGAGCAAAACTGAATTGTGTGCAAATTTAAATTTAATTAAGTTCAAACTATAAAAAAAAATTATGACAAACTCGAACCAAGTATTGAAATAAATTAAATATTATCCGGTCGAATACTTGTAAGTGACATTAGTACTGATTTAGCAATTTACATCTAGTTTCATTGCAATTAACTAATTATTCAACAACTAATTATTTTGCATAACGATAATGCATCAGTGATAAATTGACATATCATAAGTAAGTGATTTTGAAGAGGATTTCGAGTCTCTGTATATGGATGTCATAAAGATTTGATCATCAGTTTGTCTTGGTTCCGGCAAGTTAGGACGAGTCTTTTTTGTTAGGTGTAGATTAAAATGCCAAACACCAATGATTTCATCATAAGTACTTATGATTTTAATTTGATTTATGATTCCGTTAGCACAAGAATATGGATCAGCAAATTAATAGTTGATAGTTTAAATAATGCATTTTGAGTGCCAAAGGTGGATCTCGTTGTCATTACTCGTTACCATAAAAAAGAAAGGTAACACACTACTTTCTTGTATTAAATGAGTAACCGCAATGTCGTTCTCGTACAGAACCCATAACATTGAGATTTGGTAAATGTCAATTGTCAGCTAACATTATGCTGATAAACGTTGTCGTTTAACGTGTGCAATCCTTAGTCAGATAACTAGATCACTTACACGACAACGATCGTAACCACTAACCAGCATATCGACCAATAAATCTACTCTAGCAAATTCAATTACCAAGCACTCTAACACATTGCTCATCGTCCCCATCACCCCCTTCAACTATTCAAAAATCAATTTGGGGGTTTCAACCCCAATTACCAATTACCCTACCCCTGAAAATCAAAATGGCAAAAGGATATACGATAATAATATTCGCTAATCAATTTCGACCGTTCAATACCCATAACTAGGTTAATCTTAGGTCTTAACTAAATCAGTAAACCCTCCTCTGTAATTCTATTGTTGGAATCATACTATGAAGAAATGACTAAAACACTACCCAAAATCAGTTTTTATTATTATTATTACTTAGAAAGAAAGAAAAAAAGGGTGAGAATAAATATTGAAAATTTGTGGCTCCATTTCCTCAAATTTCCAGAGGTTTCTCGTAAACGAAGCATGCAGAGAGAAAGTGGAAAACTAATTAATACGTAGACTGGAGAGCTTGCAAAGTTGGATGGTTATTAGTTAGCTTAAAAGTTATACATAAGATAGTTAACATGTTAATATACAATAAGACGAGTTGCTAGTTCTTACACTTAATTTTCTTGTTGGATTTCACCGTAGGTAGAGGAGCTGTAACGCTGTACAAATCCTTGATGTAGCGGTACCTTTTGTGGGTTCTTGAGAAGGTTTCATGATGGGTGGCTGGTGCAACCGAAGAAACGTCGCTGGTAGAGTCAGGGTTATGGGGTTTGCTCCCCTGCACCACGCTGTAGCTGCAGCTGTTGTTGCTGCTGCAGTGGTCAAATTCTTCAGAATCTCCGCTGCTGAGTTGTATGAGTTGCTTCGCTGCTTCGATCTCCGATTGGGAAAACGTTACTGCCTTCTCGGTCGTCTTGATTTCGTATGCAGCCATGCTTTGCTTCTGTGACTCAGAGAACGTTCGATCGATCATCAATTCCAACTGCTTCAGAGATCCTTCTTTTTATACTCTTCAAAATACTAGGTCGGTTAATTGCTCTCCATTTTTTTTTTTATTATAATTTTTCGATTCCGTTTTCTGCTGTAGTTTTTTTTTAATGATTTTTTTTAAATAAAAAAATTATAAAGATGGTCACAATGACGGTTGAATCTAGGTTCTCATGTTTCTATTTACTCAAATATCTTTCATTTAATAAAAATTAAATCTAAGTCCTCGTGTTTTTAACTACCTTAATCTCTCTATCTAGGTTCTTGTATTTTTGACTATCTCAATCCCACTCCATCCAATTGGGTGGGGGAAGAATTGAAGTAGTTAAAAATACATGAACTTAAATTTAATTTTTATTGCCATCATTTTTATAATTTTTTTATCTTTATAAAAAAAAAGTAACAATCATCAAATTTTTTTTACATATTTTAAATTTTTTTACAAAAAAATTAATTAAGTAGTTCATTTTGTAATAGTAGTTAATCAATAATACTTTATTTCAATTTTAAATTTTAAAGACAGTTTATTAGATAAAAGTTTATTAATAAATCATACTTTTCAATTATTATTATTTAAATTTTAAATATGTTATCGACATTTAATTATTATGAGATGATATTTTTTATCTATCATTTTAATTATTAAAAATAAATGATGCGGCACGTTAACACGTTGAGTGCTCCAAACATCCTTAGCTAAGGTTTTTGAATTAGTAGGATCCCATTAACTTCTTCAACAAGGTAAGAAATATTTTATTATCTTTTAAACTTCTTTCACAACAACTCATTCTACAAGTAAATGAACATGACGAAAGTATTTTTATGCTTTTCTTTACCAGAAAGCTTTATGAAAATTTTTATTTTTTAATTTATTTTAATTTCTATTTACTGTATTTATTTTATTATTTTATAAGGTAAATTATTAATAATTAAAAATAATATTTTATCACAATATAAATTATTTATCATAAATTTAAAATATAATTTATATATTTAAAAATATTTATTGATATAAATTTTAATATTATATAATTTATATATTTAAATATAGTATTTAGTTATATATAATTTATTATAAAATTTAGTTACATATAATAAATATTTAGTTATATATAATTCATTATCTTTTCAAATTTATAAATAAATGAATATCTTTATTTCCTTTTTAACCGGTATTTTATTTTATATAATATATTCGATAAACATATTTTATATAGCATTTTAGTTTGACAATAATATGAGATAAATATTTATTTTATATAAACAATTTTTATAATAAATTGTCATTTTAAATATAAAAATTATATAATAATTAAAATTTAGAAAAATTACAAAAAATATTCTGGATGAAAAAAAAAACTTCAAGAAATACTATTATTGAAAAATAAATTTAAAAAATGGTTTCATTCAATATAATTATTATAATTTATATAGAAAAAGAATAACTATTTTTTTTAATATGCAACTATTTTTTAATTTATAAATTATATTATAATTAAATTTTGACTTATATATGTTTTGTCATGGCAGAATGGGCCAATATTAATTTTTGCCATTGTATAAATTTCTTTGTTTATATTTCTTTAAAATTTAAAATTACTCTTTTTTAGTCCCTATTATATGATCGTTTTTAATCACTTATAATAAAAGGTTAAGTGATAATAATTACCTATTATACTTTGTCAGAGTAAAATACTTCTAAAAAAAAATTATAAATCCTTAAAATAATGTTATATATTTAAATGATCATTAGGACATATAAATAGTGATTTGTGATTTTAGATTTTAGGGTATAAAAATAAAAAATATATATGTATTATACAAGACTAAAATCAAAATTTTCTTTTTTATAAGACCAAAAATAATGCTTATAAACTAAAAAAAAATATTGAAACTAAAATCAAAATATGCTCATTTTACATATAAAAAAAAGCATATTTAAGATTTTAAATTTTATATAATAAGTAAATATTTTAGCATATCAAATATATTTTTAACTTATAATAAATAATTTATATTTCAATACAAAATCATTTTCAACTATTGATATTTTTTTTTAACAATATTGAAATTCAATTTTAAAAATAAAAAATAAAATGAATACAACACATTTTAAAGAGATTAAAAAAAAATATTTTCCCCCAAAAATATACAATTACTCATAGACCTATTTGGGTTGATAAGACTAGGGATGACAAATATACCCGTACTTATGGGTAATACCCGAACCTGTCCCGACTTTGACGGGAAATACCCGGTTTGACCGGGTACGGGTACGGGTACGGGTAAAACCCGATATATTAAATTGGGTACGGGTACGGGTACAGGTATGTACTTACCCGCCCCGTACCCGTACCCGTACCCGTCCCCGTTCTCATTTTTAATTTAATATTCACTTTCAATTTAATTATATTAAAAAAATTTAATATTTTTTTATGTGTGATTATTTATTATAATATGAGATAAAGAAATAACCTAATTATAATTATAATATAATAAAAAAAATAATTTAAAAATATCATTTTTTTTACAAAAAATAAAAAATAAAAAAATTGACGGGTACGGGTACGGGTACGGGTATACCCGATACCCGACGGGGACGGGGATGGGGATGAAAATCTATACCCGACGGGTATGGGGACGGGGATGAGGATGAGTTTAACTTGCGGGGACGGGGACGGGTATCATGAAACCCGTACCCGCCCCGTCCCGTTGCCATCCCTAGATAAGACTACTTGTGCTAATTGGCCTATCTGACTTTTTATAGGGCTAATAAGAAAATAGGTTTTTAAACATGCTTACAAACTTGGTTAAGTTTTTGTGCAAATCATACAAGCTACTAAAACAAACCTACTACACTTAAATAAGTTAACATTGGTTCTCGCCTTATTAATGAAGGTTGGTTATGCCCTCATACAAAAAAATCACAATTATTTTTCAAAAGTTAGCTCTATAAAATATACAAAAACATCAAAATATCAAATATCTTTATAGTCATTTCATATCTTCCTACATATCTACTAAATGTAGAATAGGAAAACTAAACTAATAAGACAATGTATTAATAATTGTTAAAAAATATACCACAATATATGTACATATCTCATGAATGCATTATTTACATAATGCTTTACTTAAAATATTTTATAAACTTAAATTTAAACACTAATTTTTACATGTTTAATATTTATCTTTTTTTTTCCTATCGTATATGTAAAATATTGAGTTCAAACTTTTAAAGAGCATTCTCATTGTCATTTAGCCATAGACTCATATATATACTTGTATGTCTTTCCAATTTAACCACCCTTCATCACATATTTAGGGATAAAAGTGATAGAAATTCGCTTATCACATAATAGAGTACCTTAAGTCTTTTACATGTTATATTTTTTATTAATGAAAATTTGTAGTTGGAGATTTGAAAATGTTACTTTCCTCCCTCAACATTCATACACAAGTACTCCCTCTTTTCTACATTATAGGCAAAAAAAAAACCATTATTTATTCTTAAATATAAATAAATTTCAACTACTTTTACCTTATTCAATGATATTCTCTCTAAATATCTCTTCCTTAATGTATGACTTTTCAGTTGCACAACTTCTTTTGTCATTTATAATAAGGACAATTTAAGAAACATATTATGGAAGTAGTAAAATTTAATATAGATAACTAACATTTTTAATAAGCATAAAATCAGTTTTTTATATATATAATTTAGAACGAAGGGGGTATATTATATCATCAAACAATGGTTAAGAACATAAAATCATTTTATGTATGGATGAAATAGAACAATATGAAAATGATATGTTGTTTTAGAGGTCTTTATTATGCTAAATATATTTTCGATCAATGGGAAATAAATACAAAGCAACAAATGAAACTAAATAATTTTAGTGAAGGTGGAATAAGAGGCATCTGCCATAAGTAAAGGTTGAAAAGTAGTAGGATACTAATTGTGGATATAAGTTGAAGAACTCAAAGTTACACCAAGCTTTCCTAGCTAGTCAACATAAACATTGGCTTCCTGTAGACATGGGCGGAGGTGATTTTCCAAGAACACATAAATAGAGTCCAAATTCGAGAGATCGCACGTTCATAGAGATGAGTCACAATAACTACATTTTAAATGAGATGAATGACAAGTTCGGTGTCAGATTCACAAGTTAGAGCACATTATCCATTATCTTAAGCAAGTTATAAACCATGTAAGATTGTAAGGAGTTATATATTTAAGCAAGAAGAGAAACCACGTGATTTAGGGAACTCAAAAAGCCAAATTCTAGCACAATCTCTAAATAAACTACCAAAGCCAACAAAACCAGGGTTGCCCAAGGAGCTCCGAACAATGTTAAACTCGATAGAGACCACAATATGAGGATGGCAACCAAAAAGGACTTCATTAAACCATCTCGAGGGATGCACCAAACCATGTTAAATATCAGTATACAAATTTTGAATACAACAAACAATATAACTCACGAGTCGAGTAGTGTTATTAACAATATTGTGCTAAATATATGTTAAAGGGCAAATGCACCCTATTACAAAAGTAATTAATGGAGAGACCCAATGTCAAACCAAAGGATTAAACACAGACACTAATTTTAAAAGATTCCATGATGTTACAACAACACAATTCATATTTTTCAACTGTCGATCCTAAGGACTAAACAACAGGTATTAATTTTAGAAATTTTATGACATTCTCACAATACAATTTATATTGAAACATGAGGAAATAATGACATATAAGTGTTAATTATTTCAATGTTACCATTAGCGTATTAATTGTTTTGTTACCGTTGGTATTAAAAGTATTTCTTAAATATTTATCAACGAATTGATTCCCTTTACACTATATAAAGATGTGATAGAGTGAGTCTTAATATATAAAGAATATTATCTATTTTTCTAGATTTCCCTTCATACTTTCTGTTGTTCTGAACATTATTTGTGAAACTCAAATATATTTTGACCTTAAGTGCACAAGTTCAGACACGATGTTATGTAAACCTTAGGGGGCAAAACCAAATTTTGGGTTGCACCAGAAGTTCACTAGAATTTGCTTTCAAGGCAATTGCTAATGTTATGACATAGTATTTTCTTTCATTTCATTTCTCTAATAATATTTTCTAACAATCTAAAAGCAAATTGTTTCTCTTTTTTGTGTTGATCTAAAAGATTTGATGTTCTACATAATTATGTGTTCTACATCATTTTATTAAAAACACTCGTACTTCATATGAATCAAATCCAATAGCAAATGATGGGAAACAAGAGGAATAAAAAGAAGTGTAGCAACTATCATGATCACTACACTTAACGACATAACTTCTAGTAGTGAAAAAACAACAAAAAAAATATTTAGGATTAATATATTTACATTACCTAGATATATGTACCAATATATATAAAAGCGTAAAATGCCTAGGGAAAAATAAAAGATATATATATACACACATATGCAATAATCCATAACTATGAAATAAAAATCTTAAGTGTCGGTCAAGTATCACTATCAAAACTGATACAAAGGTAGCTTCCAACTACACTACCATCCAGCATGACCTGCAAACCACCAACTCCACTGACCTAACCCTATCACGGTCTCATGTAAATATGAATATCGTTGTTCAACCACTAAGAACCACTAAGAAAATATGTAATAGTAAGTTGGATTTTCAAAAGAATCAACATATATAAGTATAGATGAAATACAAATATATTATCAACAACAATGTGTAAACCACCCAACATGCACCTCATGGCTTACATCATACAACACTTAACATGACATCAACAAGTTTGAAAAGTAAATCACTCAAACAAATCAAACTTACACCACAACTGTGCCATTTGATAATATAATAAGCAAGTATATGAACAACATCAAATCACACCACATCATATGCATACATCTCAATTAATACATCGTATTTGTTTAGACAAATAAAGTGTTTAGTCTAAGAACTTATCATGCATTTTAAGGTTCTTTAAGCGTATGAGACTAAAACTAATACTACCATCTTAAGCATATGATCTCAAGTTATTTATTTATTTTTAAACATCTAACTTATTAACATTAAAATTTAATTTTTGAGGACTCATATAATGTCCTTTGGTCTAACAAATAAGATAAGATAATTATCCTATCATGTTATATTTCATTGTTTATTGTATCAACAAAATATGATAATTTTATCCTATATTTTTATTTTATCATATTAATCTAGTGTATTTTTTATCCTAAAGAGGGGTTAGATAAGGAAAAAATGAGATAAAATAAGTTCTTCCCTATTCTCTCTATATGCATTACTATATCATATATTGTATTATAACATGTATATTATACAAAAATAATAAAAAAAAATATAATAAATATAACATATATACTATCAGATATTAATGTATAATATATATAACAATATATATTATATATTATTAATTTATATATTGTAATATGTATAATATCATATTATATATTATAGTGTGTATATTAATTTATACAATATATATTATAAAATTTACATTCATTATTTTATCTTATTTATAATTATAATGATTTTGACATGTAAATTATTAACTAAAATATTAAAATAAAAATTATTATTAAAATATTGACTAAGAAAAAATATTTGAATAATAATAAGGATTAAAAGAAAAAAATTATGCAACTATAAAAATTAAAAGATAAAAAATAATATGCATAAAGACTGAAATGAAAAAAATAATTGTAGAGATTAGAAGGTAAAGTTTATAAAATTATATGAATAAAAAGGTAATTAAAAAAATAAAATATTGAAATAATCTTTCTTTAGCATAAAAAATTAGGAGAGGTGTCAATATTTTCATTATTGTTTTGTTTTGAGAGGGGAAGAAATTGAAAGGAATATGAAAGAATACGTGATAAATGGTTTGATAAGAAATAAGTAAGAAATAATGTGAAATTTGTATTTATTTGGTAGAATAAAATTATGTAACTAATAAAAAAAATTGATATTTTAAAATTTCATTTTATATAGTTAAAATTTTATGTAAAAATTAATAATTTTTAAATAATTACCATCGTACCCCTTTATCTCTTTTTCTGTATAGAGTTTAATTTTTTTTATTTTATATTATTATAAATATTGTTCAGTAACATAATTGGTTGATAATGTTAGTCGACATAATTGGCACTTCCTACCCCTCTAAATTGGCGCTATTTCCCGTGCCCAAACACGGTGTACAAATTGTTTAGCAGCTATCAGTAACAGCAAAGCAAGATGCTATTAAAAATTTATAATTGTAAAACGAAAGAAGGAGCAGTATGAGATGATCACAGAAACTCTGGGCCGTGGCACGGTGGCGCGTGGCAGCCTGACATGATCACGCTTGGGGAGTGGGGACTCAAGAGTGAGTCAGTTAGTGGGCCGATTTTTTTTCTTCTCAATTTGTCAAGCCCGTGGGCCAGCCAGGTCCTAAGTTGGGCTCAATGGGTTTTGGTTCATTTTAAAGGCCCTAGTTAAGTGGTTCGCTTTTCCTTCTCTGCCTTTTCTCTCCTTCGGTTCCTTTTCCCTCCATCTCTTGTTATGGCGGTGGAGAAGGAACAGCTTCAGGAGGAATCTGTAATTCGCCGCTTCTACCAGATTATTCTTAGTTGGGACTACTTTGCTCTCGTTAAGGAATCCAAGGTAATTCACTTCATTCCTTACTCCTTTTGTTTGTTTTTGCATTCCAAAATTCATGAGTCTTTCAAATTTGATGTTTTCAGAAACGGAAAAAAGGTACTGCGGAGTCGACGCTAGTGAGGGTCAAGACCCAATACAAAGACGTTGATGATTATATTGCCACGTACGAACCCCTCATTTTTGAAGAAGCCAAATCCCAGATCATTAAGGAGAAAGAGGAGGAAGAGGGTATTTTTAATTTCAACTATGTTGCGTCTTTTTCTTAATGTGGATTACTATTCTAGCAGTAGCATATTAGTTGTTATTTGTTAATAGCATTGTGAGATGTCTTTACACTTTTTAATGTCATGTTTGTTAATTGTTGATGGCATTGTAGCATTAGCTAGCTTGAAGAGTGTTAACTCTCTGTCGGGGTTCTCTCTTTCTGGCTTAAATTTAAACAGTAGGTACTGCTCTCCGTGTTTTAAAGTTTGGAGGGTCAACTAATATGACGTGGAATGGTTGGCATATAATCATGTTTTTTAAGCATGTAGTGAGGGGTTTTAATCTCCTGCTTCGTGTGCATAAAAAAAAATCTGTAGGGAGAGACCAACTTCTTAAATAAATTTTCGTATCTCTTGAGATTAGTTTTTGACTTTGGTTAGGATAACTTATAAATTGGGAGCAAATGTCTTTTTATAGTTGCTGAAGAACTTTTTTTTTGCCTGACTACAGTCACTGAATGGAAATTGGGGGTGGTAAAAAGTTGGAGTGAGGCAGATGACTTTCACTTTATAGAATTTCCATGTGAAATCAAGGAGGGAGAATCAATATCACAAAATGATCTTTTACTGCTTTCAAAAGATAAGGTACTGCTTCGAGTGATGAGAGATTGTGTGTTTTTTGGAATTTGAATTGTTTGGATATTTAAATTGATTGCCCGTCAATTTTTGTCGCTGCACAGATTTTGGATGGTAAAAGATTGCCTACTGTTTATGCATTTGCTTTGGTGGAACAAGTTCGGAAATTTTTTGAAACAAGACTTCTTCGAGTTAGACTCTATCTTGCTGGGGAATTTTCACATTTTAATACAGATAATGTACAATCTTGCCCCAGGCTGTTAAATATGCATACTCATATATGCGAGACACAGAGACAATTGTATTTTATGAAGGTAACATGTTCTATCTTGTATTCTTGGCAGAGTGGTGACTGGTGAAAGATGATAGCTCAGTTCTTTTAGGAATTATTAAAGAAAATATCTCCTATAGATTAAATATTTCCCGTGGAAAGATGTAGGTTACCTATCAACTATGATTTTTTATGTTTTTATTACTATGGAATTTCTTGAATGTTATTATTTTTGGTTAGTAATAAAAATGTTCCTTTTAGAAATTGCATATTTGCAAATAAAGATATTTTTAATTTTCTATGACATTGTTCTTTGGTTTTTTTGACAAGTGACTTTGTTCATATTTGTAAATGCATTCTTTAGTTCTATCTTGAGAAGTACAATCAGCTGAAAACTTAAATGTTACATGTCAGGTCCTATTATGATAATTTTAGGAGTCTCACTTACTAAAATCAATAAACAAAAGGCAAAAAGGAGACATATTGATTTCATAATATTTTTTTTTTATTTTTGTCAGTGACTCAGTTCCTTCCATTGAAAATGCCTGTATGTGTTTCAGTTACGTGAAAAAATATTACATTTGATACATTATTTATATATTTTAATAACATGTATGCATTTTACACATATTAGGTATAGTTTGAGGTGGAAGACGGAAGAGATTGACTGCTCTATAATTAAGGAAATCTATAATATATATAAAGGTGATAGCCTCATTTGGCATACACAATTATTTGGACAATTTTATTCTTACAACTTTCAAATTACTCTCTGCCACTATCTCTCTTCCACTATTTTTATTTTATATATATATATATATATATATATATATATATT